GACAAATTATTAAATGTGCCGATGGTTTGAAGAACTGTGCCCAACAGAATCATGCATTTTAAAGCAGTTTAGCCTTTACTGATAACGTATATTAAGCAAGTGGTTATATTTGCTACATCGACTGCAAAATGAGATGGGAATTTCTGGAAATGTTCTTAAGTGGTTTTCTTCCTATCTGAGAAAAAGAACCTTTTCCATGTTTGCAAATAACATACTAAGATCACTCCGTTATTGTATGGTGTTCCTCAGGGTTCAGTCTTAGGTCCCATTTTGTTCCTTTTAGACATCAGCCCCCTGGGAAAGATTAGCTTCAATATTGTGTCTTAACATTTGTAGGCTGATGACATTCAACTCCTTTCATGATTTAGAATTACACAAGTTAGCCAAATTAGTAAATTGTGTTTCCCGTATTAAGGCCTGGCTAGCCAACAACTGCCTTCAGTTAAATTCTAGCAAGACTGAAACCCTGATCATTGCTCCTGAACAGAAAGTTCCTTGGGTCAAGCAACACCTCGGTTCTCTGGGCTCCTCTTCTCAGACGAGCCTCAGAAACCTTGGTGTTCTGTGTGACCAGTCAATGATGTTATCCATGTCTGACCTTCATGCTTTTATTTATTCTAGTTTAGATAAGTGTAATTCCCTTTTTATTTAACAAATCTGCTGTCGCTCATCTCCAGTGGGTCCAGAACGCTGCTGTGAGGCTTTTAATAGGAACTAATAGAAGGTCTCACATTAGACCAGCTTTATCTTCTCTTCATTGGTTACCTGTTGAATTTAGAATTTTAAAATTTTAGTCTCGACTTTTAGAGCTTAAATGGACAGGGCCCCCAATACATCACTGAAATGTTGATTCCTTATTCTCCAGCATGTGCCCCTCGTTCTTCAGCGCTGAACCTGCTAAAGGTCCCCAAGACCTGGTTTAAAACTCTGGGTGACCTATCCTTTCAGACTGTAGACCCCAGACTGTAGAATGCCCTGCCCCTGTCTCTTTGTATGACCATCTCTACTGAGTCCTTTAAAAAGCAGCTTAAGACATTTTTATTCAGACTAGCTTTTAGTTAATTGTTTTACTTTCTGTTTTTATCAGCTGTTCTTACTGTTTTTGTTTTCTATTAAGCCTGTACTATGCATTTCTGTAAAGCACTTTGTGATTTTATCTATGAAAGGTGCTAAATAAAGTTTACTTACTTTATTACTTATTTAGCTCAGCCGTTTCCATTTATGATGTTAGCAGAAAAGACTATCAATAACATTATTTATGTCTATAAATACAGTGTTTAAGCTAGAATAATACAAGACTAATGTTCTAAAGTTAGAATAATTTGTTAATTAGCCTCCCACATAAATCTCAATGCCTCTGGTGTGATTGTAGCTCTCATTTCCATAAGATTGTTCAGAAATAACCTAGAAGAGTTCAAATTAAAGAAGGAAAGAGAGGTCAAATCTGATGTCTTCTTGTATTTGATCCAACCAAACACAAGCCACACATTCCAGGGCAACATATCAATATTCAAATGATGAAGCCTTTAATGCAGGGCCAAGAGAGCCTCGCAGTACTCCTATAAACACTACAGGGAGTTTCCACTAATGATCAAAATAATGAAAAAACAGGAAATAAGCAGCCAATAAATAATGCAAATAGGCCTGCTCATTTACAATAAAATACCCTACATTAACAGAACATACCGAGAATTGTGGATTGTTGTTTGGCTTTCAAAATTTTTGAATGAGGAGAAATGAAATAAAACCTTTTTTTTTGTTTCTATTATCTAAACTTTTTAATTTTTGTAAATAAGAATATTCAGCTGAGTCAAACAAAAAGTGCACAGAAGAGGAAACAATTCTCACAAAAGGCAACCCTCCTCAAAAGCCTGAAATGAGTAAGACTCATTTAGGTTTTTCTACAGGTATGTTACCTTATACGTTTTAGTAAAATATGTGGAGTATTGTTTTGGAACCCACTGACCTACGTATATCAAAATTAATACAGTTATTCATGAACATCAGCCGGGAAGCACTTTCTATGTCATAAACTGCAACTACATCTCTGCAGAGAGACTTACTGTACAATCTGATTCATATCTTTTAAATGTATTAGCACCAAACTACATGACAGGGATCATGTTTACAAAACAAAACACTACATATTGATGACTTTATGACAGATGGCAGCCTGAAGGTCAAAACCACACATGACGCTCACTAGAGGGATCAGTTCCATTGGATACTCCCCATATGTGTCTACGGTGAACCCCTTAGGAGATTTGCCACCAAAGGCTTTTTTTGAACTCAGCATGCAATAAAGTGACACCCCTCCTCTTCTTCTTCCTCTGGTCCTGAATTCATGACGGCAGACAGCACCATGCTCAAACATCTAAACATGTTTGCCAATTTACATGAACCCAAAGGGGACAAAACTATAATTATATGTTCGTTCTGCTTATGATAATTTGTTGTATTTCTGCTAAATGTTTCAATCTGTTTATAGATAACTGTCATTTATAAGATTCTAGAAAAACTGATAAACTCTCAAATCAACAAGTATCTGGACTCATTTAACATCTTACCTTCCCATCAATCTGGTTTCAGGAAACACCACAGCACAACGACTACTTCACTGAAAGTTTTTAATGACATTGTTGAAGCACTGGACGCTAACAATTATTGTGCTGCACTTTTCTTAGACCTGTCTAAAGCTTTTGACACTGGATCATGACATGTTGTGTCATAAGCACTCAGAAATTGGTTTCTCAGATCATACCATTGGTTGGTTCTCTATCATTCAGATCGGAGGCAATGTGTTCAATATAATGGTATTTCCTTCAGTTATTTCAATGGTGTACCACAAGGCTCAGTCTTAGGACCCACCCTTTTTACAATCTACGTAGGTAACGTAGGTCAGAGCATCCCCGATGGATCCATACACTTCTATGCTGATGACGTAGTTGTTTATTATTGAGTTAAAACAGTTACTAAGGCTTTCCAACTTTTGCAATCTTCTTTTGACATCATCCAGTCAAATTTGTTCCATCTCAAACTTGTCCTAAATGCAGACAAAACCAAAGGGATGCTTTTTTCAAACAGGAAGCCAGTCCCAGCAGTTCTTCCTCTGATTTTATCCTTTAATGGTGTCCCTGTTGAGTTTGTCGATTCCTAGAAATATTTGGATATCTTGGTTGATACCCATCTATCTTTTAAGCTTCACGTGGAAAATTTGGTAAAGAAACTGAAAGTTAAACAGTTTTTTTTTTTTTTCAGAAACAAATCCTGTCTAAGTCTGAATTCTAGGAAACGCCAGGTAACTGCAACTTTCCTTCCCTTCATTGACTACGGTGACATAATTTACATGAATGCTCCTACAAGCACCCTGCAGATGTTGGATGCTGCCTATCACGGTGCACTAAGATTCATAACTGGCTGTAACTATCATATCCATCATTGCACCCTGTATTCACTGGTTAACTGGACATTATTAACTTCACATACTCTCTCACTGGTACATTTTCATCTTTAAATCACTTCTTAAGTCTGTTGCCTTCATACATCTCCTCCTACATGTCACTGCATGAGTGCAGCTACAGCGTGCGCTCTCAGGACATTATTACATGCAGTGTTCCCTCAGTGATGACTGAACTAGGCAAAAGGGCCTTCTCCTACTCCGCTCCTGTTTCCTGGAAAATCTTGCAAAAAGATTTGAAGCTCTCCACCTTGACCTCTCTAAGTGGCTTCAAACATCTGTTAAGTTCCTGGCAAGAACCCATGCAGACATGTTCCTGTTTTTAATTTTTTACACCGCCTTATAATCTAGCTGTTTTTTAATTATCATTTTGTTTTCAATTGTTAAAAAAACCACTAAAAAACTTAAATTTGTATGAATCATTTGTGAATGTCTATTGTGTTGTTGTCATCCAGTGTTGTCATTGTTCTTTGTTAAAATCCAGGTCTCTCTTGTAAATGAGTCCTCGTGGCTCAATGGGACTAACCTGTTTAAATAAAGGTTGAATGAATTTGTGCAAATAATAAAAAAAAATGTGAGTTTGAAAACATTCCACTAATGGGAACAGTCAGAATGCTGTCGTTAACCGACTTCCAATTTATGCAAAAAGCATTTTGGTCCAACAGACAGAGGTTTCACATCAGCGCTCACTGCCCAACTCCCACGTCTGATTAAATCATCTACTTAATAGGGTGTCGTTTAAAGTTAATATAGAAGGTGTGACCTTATTAGGCTGCAAGTGAAAGGGAGGAGCAATGGGTGGGAAAAGATAAATGTAAAGGACAATCTTGTAATTGTTATTACAGAACAAGAAGCTATAATTCTGAGCAGTTCCGAGATGTTTTTGTGACATTTATGTCTGAATTTAAATACTGTTGCTGAGTAAAGTATACACAAGATTACAAATGACACTGTTGAATTTATTCAACACCATTTTTAATTAAATTATAAAACAAAATACATCAAATTATTCTTATCAAATTATTTTTACATTAAGATAGGTTGCAAATTAGAAAAGCAAATCCAAGTGCAACCTCATTCAGGAAAGATTTTTTTATGATCATAAAGTTGTAGTAAAAATCAGTATTTGTAACTAAACAAACTAAGATTGTGTTACAAAAAGGAAGGCTTAAATCAAGCTGCTTTTCTGGGAGCCCTCAGACCTTTCCAAATATGATTCGTGTTGTTCGATTCTGATGGCCAATTCAATTAGGCTGAATAAGTGTGGGCATAAAAACAGGCAACTTGACAAACTGAGAAGATGGATGGCAACCTTTGCTTCACCATTAAAATCACAAGTGCGTCACAGTGGAGCTCAGTCTATTTCCATTTTACCCACTGTGACAAAATGACAGGGTCATAACGAACCACCGTTGGCTGCTGTTAGAACTTTTTATGCTCTGACATCAGTAATAAAGAGTACATTTTGGTTTATTCACAGCAGAAATGAACAAAAAAAAAGCCAAAATAAATTTAAAGACGATGCATAAAATTATTTACGGTTTTATTCTTTAAAGATTAATTTCAGTGACTCATCAGCCACGCAGCCTGAATGGCGCTGTGTGGGTGTGTGTTGTCTGGCTGAACCTCAGTTGGAGTCGCTGGGCGCCTCAGAGGAGCTGACCTGTGCGTAGATGAAGGAGTAGAGGCTGACATCAGGGCGCTGAGTGAGGCTGCTCCTGCACACGGAGCTGTAGTACTGCCCCAGGAGATCATACACCTCCCCTGAGACAGAGACAAGGAGGCTGTGAGCATCATCTTATTATAAACGGCCTAATACCCAAGAAAGATAAATAATGTGGTTTTTAGAATCAGGGTAAGTAGCTATATGATGTTATTTTAAAAATAGGACAATCAGTCTTCGTAAAAGAACAAAAGTAGTGCTAACGAAGTATCAGTAAAAACAGCTTTATTAACTAAAGGTTTAGGATTCCTTGAAGAAATGTACATCACCCGAAAAATGAGAGGGGACAGAGTTATATCTGTTTTAGTCAAACCTATTAAATGACATTATGTATGAGATCATGTATAGGCCTGTTGCAATAGACAATAAATCAATTAATCGCATGATGAATGAAAATTATCGACCGCATTTTCATTTCCCGGCTTCATCGTGTCTTCATGTCTCTCTCTTTCTACTGGATAAGGTTCAACTCCGGTGCTTTTCACTGATCCCTCCTTTTCTCTTTAAAATATGTTTTAACCGGCCAAAATCGCATTTTTGGATCGCTAAAAGCAGCTAAGCTGAGAAGCTAAACTAAACGAGCTAAGCTAACAGGCCGACCTCGGAAAAAAACCTCCATCTTATCGAGCTCCAAAATTCACGGTTGAAACCCGTGCCTTCGTATAAAAAGATTTTCTCTGCAAAAAGAAGCTGAGAACTTGTTTACTGATTTTTTTATTAAAAGCTTTGTGTGAAAAATGCTATGCTGAAGAGTTCAAATCACCGAGCGTCATGTCACCATGTCAGTCCATGTCACGTCAAGGGCCCTCCCATTTTTCTTTAAGAGGCGATGCTCAAATATCCATCCTTTGGTTCAAACAGTACTACCATCAGGTGGTCAAAAAAGGTAATACACACCAAAGAAATAATTTCTTCTAAAATTTGACAATTAATTATTGTTACATTTCAAACAATATTATCGTTTATCGCAATAATTTCTGAGGCAATTAATCGCCCAGCAAAATTTATTATCGTGACAGGCCTAATCATGCATGACAGTGTAAGATCTCGCTTGATCTGTACGTGCTGGCAGTACTATGTGCCGATGATGACTCTCAGCTACTACCAACCCAAGTTTTATCTTAGCATCTGTAAAATTGATTTAGAAGTCATTTTCGTGTTGGCTAAAAAACATAATTTCTGGACTAGAAGCCGCTACTTTTTTTGCACACTTTGAACCCTGCGGCTCATAAAATGCTGCGGCTAATTTATGGATTTTTTTTTTTTGACGGACTAACGAGCTTCATGTTGCAAAAAAATTTAGCCTCGTCACAACTAGGCACTCACATAGCTGCCCAATACACGTCTCTCTTGGGGGGGGGGGGGGGGCCCCCTGACACAATGAGACTACCTGTATAAATAAAGGTTAAAAAAAATCTGACCATTGAAACTAACAAAAAAGTCACAATGGTGGAGGGGGAGGGGGGGACTTCATCCCCCTCCCCCCCTCCCCGTTCTCTCTCCCCCTTCCCCTCCCTGTGGGAGTTTCCCTGCGAGAATTTCTCACTTCGTTGTACACAATGAAGTATTTGCAGCCACTTGAAATAAGTGTAAATTATGAATCAAATCAAATTGTGTATTTGTGACAAAAGTGACTTTAAGAGCGACAACGAAAGAGATTGAGGATGTGTTTGATGAAGTTTTTCTGAGGTTCTTCAATTCTGACACTGAAGAAGACGACTTTAGTGGTTTTAGTGGGAAGGAAAATTAGCAATCAATGACTTTTCCTGGTAGGCTACTGTATTTTTTTTCTCCCCCAACCGTGTTACAGGCACTGTTCAGAAAACTAAAACATTTACTGTACGTATTTGTCTATGCTACCGGTACATATTTAATTAAACGTTTAAAAAAATCTTTCTGTGTGAATATCTCATGTTACAACGTGGACACCTGTGGCTTTTACACAAGTTCGGCCTATATATGTACAAGCTTTTTCTCTTCTTTTTAAATTTAGTGGGCGCAACTTATATTCAGGTGTGCTCAATAATCCAAAAATTACGGTAGATTATCTGTGGTGGCCTTATAGATTTAGGTTAAAAGTTAATGAGTTGTAGATGAACACCAAATGATTACTTTGAGAGTGTCATTGAGGAATGTCCTGTGGTTCACGAAATATTTAGCTAACACTATAAACAAACAGGCAAAGACACAAGATGCGTGCAGGATGTCTGGTCACCCTTACCAACAGTGATGTTCCTCTGAGTGAGGAAAGAGTGCATGTTGTGGACATCTGTCATGAGCTGGCTGTCACCAAAAGTGAAATAAGCTACGTCTCGGCCCGCCTCAGCAGCTGCCAGCATCTGGATCAGAGCTGGAGGGAAAAACAAGACTGTTAAACCTCGAATGTGAGAGTGACGTAGAATATGTCTGTTGCTGTGCACGAACCGACCTAAACTTTTTAATAATGTAATTCAAAGAGTTTGGAAATACGGCACAGGAATATAATTATATGTGTAAAAAGTATTTTATTTACAGACCTATTACATAAGTGAAGGTTTGAAAAGTTGCCCAGTTCACATTAAAATTAAGCTGCACCAGCCTCTGGTGCCTGTACAGGAAAAGGTAAGTAATCAGGGGAATAGGTCTCACCCCCACAGAGAACTCGGGATCAGTTACAAAGGAAAGCAAGGACTGGCCCCGGAAAGCTGTGAATATTTCAAGAGACTGGAAATACGTCTGCTAATTAATTAAAGTTGGGAAACTGCGAATGCAATAAACAAAACTGAATAAACAGTTTCTGAAGAACGCTGAGCAGATTTACCTTTCAGTGGAATCTCTGCTCTATTTCAGCCATCCTCAAAACTTGAATTACATGTGAAAACTAGAGAAATTGCATTTCCTGCAAAAATGCAGTGTAAATGCTTATTGTAGAAGAACTTGCTGAAGCACAGCTGAAATTACCGGTAGCTAAAAAAACAAAAAAAACAAAAAAAAAAACAACAAACGTGCTGAAATGTAGCTGCAAATACAGAACAATCCTAAATTAGCAGAAGCAAGCAGAACGTATTATTTGTTGAATCAGGATCAAATAAGCAGAAAATGGCCCAAAAATGAGGAAATCTGCTTAATAAAAGGCTAAAATTAGCACACACAAAAAAAACAGCTAAAAAGTAGCTGAAAAGGGAGAAAGAAACTTAAGCTACCAGAATGAAGCAGAAAGAGCTGAAATGAGTAAAAGAAATGTGGAATTAGCTGAAAAGGCAAAAATTAGCACACACACACACAAAAAAACCCAGCTAAAAAGTAGCTGAAATAGCAGAAAAATCTGAAAAAAAAACTGAAAGGGGCATAACAAGCTGAAATCAGCAGAAATAAGTTAATTAGGCTGAAAGTAGTAGAAATTGACAATACAAATTTGAATTAGTCTGAAAACTGCTGAAATTAGCTAAAAAATGCAGCTGAAAAGGTAGGGCAAGCTTAAATTAAAATGAGAAAGCAGAAAAAAACACGTGTCTGCCCAGTTAATCTGAAAGAAGCAGGAATGAGCACATAAAAGTAGAAATTATATGAAAAAAGCTGAAATTAACACAAAATAAACTGCTGAAAAGTAACTAAAAAGGCAGAAAGAAGCTTAAATTACAATAACAAAGTCGAGAGTGCACATTTTTGCTGTTAGGCAAAAAAAAGTTTAAATGAGTTCAAAAAATGTGGAATTAGCTGAAAAAGCTTAAATTTGCATAAAACAGCTATATATTAGGTGAAATAGTAGAAAAAGCTGAAACTTGCAGAAATCAGCTGAAAGGAGCAGAAAGTTAGAAGATGCATACAAATGTTGTAAGTTAGCAGAAAGAATCTAGAAGGAGCACAAAACAGCTTTTAAAAAAAGCTGAAATTAGCTGAAAGTAGCAAAAAAAGTTAAAATTTGCATAAAGAAGATGAACCGGAACAAAAAGTGAAAGAAGCAGTAAAAGGTTGTAAACAGATTTAAAGATTTGAAGGATTTTCTATGAGAAAAAAATGGCAGAAAAGGCTTCAAAAAGCTAAAGTTGCACCAATACCGAAAGTCATAGCAGGATTGTCCTGAACGAGCTGAACGTTTTGATCTATGATTTACTGAAATAGCTTCAAAACTGCGGGATGAGAATCACGTCGAAAAACTTTCAGAAGAAAAATGGATCACAATAGTGTGAATGTTTCATAAGCATTCACACAACTAGTTGCTCTAATAGAGGACAACCTCTTCCCTGGAGGTATGTCATTAAGCACGCAGTGGGTGACTCTGCCAATTAAAAGGCTGTACTTCACGTTGGTTAAGTAATGTTTAGTTTGGTGTCAATGTAAAGCCTTACAGCAAAAGGCTAGAACATTTCACCGAAGCGCTCTGCTCAGCAGCACAGACACAAGGCACAAACGCAGAGCTGTAACAGATTGATGGGCTCGGCCCGGCGATCAATTCCACTATTAATGTAAGATATTAACTTTGTCATTTGATCAATAGGAGGAAGGTAAAAGAAATAGGCCTTAAGTAAACGTACGCATTCCCAGAAGACAAATGGATGCCCGTCTGGATCTGCTGGAGCTTTTCAATGTGAATTTATTATATATCCAGTAAAAACGAGTCCAATTAGACATCCAAGCTCACAAGGATGATTTCAGCTTTTTTTCTCCTCAAGATCTACTGACGTCAATGTTACGCCTGTGCTTACCTTTCAGACGTGTGTCACCTCCAAAAACGCCGCAGCCCCAGTTTCCTGTTGCCACTGCTGCAAGCTGTTGACTTTCCTTCTCACGGTGGGCAAAGCCGCAGTAAGCCTAAATAAAGACGCATAAAAAGAACGTTAAAACAAAATCAGAAATCATTTTAATGCAGAACATGAAACTCTTTTTGAAGAGCGGCCTGCGCCTGAAGGTGAATGTCGCTTAACTGTGGGAGGAAACTGAAGCACCCGGAGAAAGTCCACACAGAAAGACTCCAGATCCAAACCGGGGATTGAACCCAGAACCTTCCTGCTGTGAGGCAACGGTGCATGCTGCCAAAGCAGGGCACTAAAGAATGTTCATCAAATTTAAAAATTATATGTACTGTAATTTAAAATATTAATATATAGGGGATATATATGCTCCCCCGTGTACCCAAGATGGCTGCTCTTTGCTCCACACAGAGGGCTGTGGTAGCTCGGTGATCTGTGGTTGCGTCAGGAAGGACATCCAGTGTAAAAACAAATACCAAGTCTTTGTGTCAGTTAGCTCGCTGTGGTGACCCCTGAAAGAGGGAGCAGCCAAAAGATTAATATATACAAATATAATTTGTCTTTCTTAATTTCTCAACAAACTTTTACAGTTCTAGGAGAAATTTTCTAAACTGCAGGTGGTATAATCTAACGCAATCTGGCATCTTATCAATGCCTATGAAAAAAAGTATGTGGGATGAAGCAATACAAAATTCAAATATATTTCAACTATGAATGTAATGTACCGGTACTTTAAACAAATATCAAATTTTAAGATGTATAAAATTTCAGTGTACAAAATTAGAAATTGTATTTCTTAGGCATTTTACACACAACAAGCTTATTAGAGGATATAGACATAATCAGGTAATTAACTTTCCCCTTAAAATAGTCCCTGTTAAATGTATAAAAATTGTATCCGGTACAATTTATGTAATAAAAGTGATGTTAGTGATTAGGCTCAGTTTTTTTTTTAAATAAATGTATATTGTCATGAAATTTCACGTAGTTTTTTTTTTAATGAAATTTGTGATGTGTGAATAAGTAATTCAATTCAATTCAATTCAAAAATACTTTAATCGCAGAGGGACTGATGAAATATAATGAGGCATTGCCGGACTAAATACTGTATGTTATAACTTAAACTATGTAGTAGCAAAGAGACAAAAATAAATTTAAAAATATAATTTTTCATGTAAACCTTTAACTGATCAAAATAAAAAGTTAAAATGGACTGTACTTGTATAGCACTTTTCTATCTTATGAAGATACTCAAAGCTCTTTACAATTCAATTCAAAAATATTTTATTAATCCCAGAGGGAAATTAAATAAACTACAATCAGTACACTACAATTACAATTACACTACAATCTGTGCCCTCATTTACCCACTCATACAGCACTCTGCTAGATCTATACAAAGAATAATCAGTGCTTTTGAACGGGAGGACTCGCTGTGCATTTCTTCAAAATTTAACAAGAAAACCACCTAAAAACAATTATTTGATTGCTCGAAATTATAGTAAAAGGTGTGTCTTAGTCAAACTTTTCCTTAATAAATGCACTTTGATGGTCAAATCAGCTGTATTTCAAAAGTATTTGCTGCCTCGGTGCTTGCAGAGGGAGGAAATCAGAAAGGAGGAACGCGGCGCATTTCTTCGAAATTTAACAAGATAACCACCTAAAACAATTATTAGTTTGGTTGACATTATAGTAAAGGTGTGTCTCAGTTGAACTTTTACTTAATAAATGAACGTCAATGGTCAAATTATTTGCATTTTGTCGGGGCGGCGCAGCGAAATGAAGCTGATTTGACGGTTACTCCAGGCGAGCTGGACGAAGGTGGCAAGCTATGGCAAGCCGATGTTGTCATTAATAGCCACTTTTACCTATTGCATAATACAAGAGCATGCCATACTACTCGAGTTCCATCTATAGGGTGAAAATGGTAATGTACAATATTTTCGGTCAGAATGAATGAAAACAGTCATATCTCAGCCAAAACATGGTTTATAAATATGGGAAAATAATCCATAAATATGTTGCTTCTGCGTACAAGTTGTAGGGCATGCAAATTATGCACAAAAAAATGTGACTTATAGGCCAAAAAATACGGTAATTATAAATTAATTGTTTATTGATAAACAATTATGAGACCTGTAACCATGTTTATTGAATCAATCTTAAAATGTTTGTGATTTTTTTTTTTTAAACCATAAAGTGACCATTGTGGTATTCAGTCCATGTGTACATAAATTGGTTTGGTTGCACTTGTATTCCTAGCACGGTGCCATTTAAGGACAAGAAGAATAAATGTATGTTTTACTATGTATTTACTAGGCCAAAACTGTGGCGCTGTTCTCAAAGCAGTCACCTCCCAGCAAATAGGTCGTAGGTTCACCTCCCGGCTTTTTCCATGTGGAGTTTGCATGTTCTCTCTGTGCATGCGTGGGTTTTTTCAGGTACTCCGGTTTCCTCCCACAGACTAAAAACATGCATGTTAGGCTAATTGGTAACTCTAAATTGTCCCTAGGTGTGAGTGAGACGGGGAATAGTTGTTGGTCTCATTTGTCTCCATGAGACCCTGTGATGGACTTGTGACCCGTCCAGGGTGAATCCTGCTTCTCACACATTGACAGCTGGAGATAGGCACCCGCTGACCCATGACCCAGAAAGAAAAGGTGGGTAAAGATAATGAATAGATGGATGGGTGGCTAAAATGAGCAAATCCCACACAAGTAAACGAAAGCAGCACGGTCTGTGAGCCAAATAAGCAGTTATATTAGGAACTACTTAAATTAAATACCTGAAAAGGGCTCTGAACATTCGTTTTCATGTTAAAATAAAATGCACAGTGAAAATGGATTTTAAGAGCCCGTACCCCCCTGACCAGTCATAAATTCTTCCTGTGAAAGGGCAGATATGACATTTAACTGAACTATATTTGAAATAGGATTGATCTCTGAGTTTGTGCATTCTTCACACTCTTGTCAGAACTGTCAAAATCCTCTACGCCTTCTGACAGCAGACCTGACAACATCTACGTCTTGATTTCCCATTACAAACAGGCCCACCTCTTCCACAAAGATTATACATATGGTTTACATATTGTACGGTATTTATACATATAGAGGTAGAACCGATGTTTAATAAATAACATCACAGTCACTCAATGCCAAATAAAATTAATTAAGGAAATGTATTAAAATAATTAACTATAGGGCATTTAATCATTATTTATTAAATAAGCCTGACTTGTGTTTAGAGCTTAAAGTAACCTAATGGACATTTTTTTAATCTATGCAAACTGCAAATTTCATCTAAAAAAATAAATAAATACAAAAGTATTCAATGTCAGGACTAAAATATCTTTTTTTTTTTTAACAAAAGGAAGAATTGTGTTTGTTCTTAGTTATTAATCAGCAAAACGAGAAAACAGAAGTTGAGTTTACCTCCAGAAACAAAACTAAGTAAAAGAACAGAAACGTTTAAGTTAAAAAGTTATAAGAAGATGAAATATTACCTTATTAAGTTCCCGGTTGATTTTAACTGGTTGGAATTGTTCGAGAAAGCTTCTAAACTTTAGAGCATCGATGGCCACAATCTCTGTGCACCTTCTCTGCCAGCCATCTCTGGAAAAAAATTAAATAATTCAATTTAGTGCATATTTTCTAGCAAAAACCTTATCCAATATGAATGAATGTGCATAAATTAAGCTACATTACGAGCTCAAAATGCAGCTCTTTCAGAACTCTGAAAACAATATAAACACCCAAATATGCTCCAAGTCACGCGCTGACGTTCATCAGGTAAGATGTTTATTAATAAATGGTAATAAACCAGTCAAACCTTAATTTAAACTTCTTGTGTTAGAGAAAAGAATGTTAGTGAATCACTAGTTATTACAATTAATTATAAGCAAAAATTAGCAACTGCACAAAACTTATGTAACCAATCTATAACTGTAATCATTAAACAATTCAATATGCATGTTCTTCAGGTACATTCTCTGGGACTATAAATAGATGTACAAACTATATAACAGACTGAGGTAGTAATAAAAACTAAATGGGTATAGTTAAGACATTTAAGTGCTTTAACATTTTCTTAAGTTGAGATTGTTCCAAGCCAATAGGGGTGCATACCTTGGAGTTCTGTCCTGGTGGCTGCCACTCCACTTGTAGGTCTCACTGTAACCTTTGTATGTACTGTACTGCTGTGTTCCTAATAAAAAGTAACATCCATTCAATTTCATCACAAAACAAGGAGCAGCAACACATAAATGATCATTACATGTAAAGATAATAACGCTGAAAACAATGTGCAGTTGTGCTGGTAGTGTACCGCTGTGTTAATTAACACAGTTTAATCAGCACGTTGATTTTTGTGTTACATGTAATGTAATAAAAAGTCATGACATCCCCCAGCTTTAACACAGAATACAGAAGATAAGAGTACGCACTTTAGGTCCTAAGAAAATAGTAAAAACTAGAGAAATTGCATTTCCTGCAAAAAGAATGCTTATTGCTGAAGAATTTACTGAAAAACAGCTGAAATTAGCTAAAAACATGCTGAAATATATCTGACATGTAAGAACAAGCCTAACTTTGCAGAAGAAAGTAAAAAGAACACATAGTTGCTGAATGAGGCTTAAATAAGCAGAAATTAGCACAAAAATTAGGAAATTGGTTAAAAAAGCTGAAACTATTAAAAAATAGCTGAAATTTCCTGATAAGGCAGAAAGAAGTTTAAACAACTAGAAGGACGTGGAATGAGCTGAAATGAGCTCCAAGAATTTGGAATTAGCGGAAAAAGCTCAATTTAGTATAAAACAGCTAAATATCTGAAATAGCTGAAAAGGCTGAAAATAGCAGAAATAAAATGAGAGACGCATATCAAGCTGAAAATAGCAGAAATAAGTTAATTAGGCTGAAAGTAACAGAAATAACCACAAAAAAATGAATTTATCTGAAAACAGCTGAAATAAGTAAAAAATGCTAAAAAAAAATAAAAATACTAAAAAGGTAGCGCAAGCTTAAATTAGCAGCAGTAGAAAGAAGCACAAAAGTTTGCCGAAAGAAGCAGAAATTAGAACTAAAAAGAAGAAATTATTTGAAACAAAGCTGAAATTAGCCCCCCCCCCAAAAAAAAAAAAAAAAATTAAAAATTAAAAACAGCTGAAAAAAGCTAAAAGTTTGCTAAAATTGCATGTAGGAAGTGCAGAGACCACATTTTTGCTTTATTAGGCTGAAAAAAATTTAAATAAGTGCAGGACATGTGGAGTTAGCTAAAAAAGCTAAAATTAGCATAAAACAGCTAAATAGTTGCTGAAATTTTTTAAATTAGCAGAAATCAGCTGAAAAGAGCATAAGCTAAAATTAGCAAAAAGAAGTTGGAAGAAGCACAGAAATGTTGTAGTTAGCAGAAATAATCTGAAAGGCGCACAAAATAGCTGAAAAAAAACAGCTGAAAGTAGCTGAAAAAGTTTAAATGTGCACAAGGAAGCTGAAAGAAGCTGAACCAAACAAAATTTTCTATGAGAAAAAAAAATGGCAGAAAAGGCTAAATATTTCAAAAAGCTAAAGTTGCACTAATACCAAAAGTCACAGCAGGATTGTCCTGAAAGAGCTGAACGTTTCGATTTATGACTTGATGAACTAACTTGAAAACTGCTGGACGAGAATCACACCGAAAACCGCACGGAAGAAAAATAGATCACAATAGGGTGAATGCTTCATAAACATTGTCATAACACAAGAAAAAAAAATCAAGTTAAGACACAAATAAAAATGTTTAGTAAACATTCTGAGCAGTAAATGCTTGTCTGTGATTGGACCACATGTTTGGTGAGATCCAGTGAAATCCTTTTTGAAATAGTTCAGCAAAGACTGACCACCAGCCCACAGGGAAACACTTCACACCCATAAAACAGGACTGAAAGAGGCCACAGATTAAGTTCCCATTCATTAGCCCTCATCTGAACCCGACTAATTAAAAAAAGACCAAGAGCCTTCCAGCTGCAAAGTAAATAACCCAGGTGATTAGAGGCTTCGAGCACGAGTCTGTGGAGCTCGGCTAGATTGTTCTCAAAATCAACTCTCATTATGTTTTCTGCTAAATAATTTGAATAACTCACTTTAGTAGATTTAGTTCATCGGTATGTAAAAAAATGAGACATATGAGCAAAAAGCAGGAACAGCTCTACAAAAATGCTTATTGCAAATACAAACTTTAGGTCAAAAAGAGTCAAAGAAATGCTGTCAGTTAGATTCGGTCATATGTGGTCTGTTTGAATGTAATTCCTTTGTTACTGTCAATTTACTTTTATTATTTTTCTACAATCTACAAACTATAACGAGACGATAACTGATATTTATCATTATTAAATCCTTGAAAATAATTCAACAATGACATAACGGTGAATAGCTGTGTTAAAGTAGAAAGTCTTTGTGTTGATATGACATTTAATGGTTCTTTCCGTGGTCTCAACCATTTTTTTATTTTACTTCTGAAAGTGGCCTTCTTCAAAAATTAATTATGCTTTTGATTTTTATGCAACCCAAAAGGTTCTTTGGAAGTTATTCGCAGAACAAAACAGCTCAAACTTGGCTTTAAAAGGGGACAACTACCCAGTAGTTAAGACTTATTCCCAAATAAACAATAAAATCTGCAGGCCTAAACAAAAATGTGCTAAAGGTTGTTTCATTCATGTGTAAATACATGGAAATAAAAAGTCTCACTTGTGGTGGAGCAGACACTGAATGTCAGGAGTGTGTCTAAATGCCATATCAATGCAAAACTGTGCAAGAAAATTGAAGTATTTCTTTAAATTAAAGTAACAACTGACTGGTCTGCTCATGAGCAAACAAAATATTTTATTTTCTAACTATAAAACAATAAAAATATATTTGTCACCCATAAAAAAAAAACTGAAATTATTGCATAGGAACACTGAAAATAAATATTATGAACCCCCATTGCACTATCTCCAGCTCATGTACTTAAGCATGCACATTCCCCGGTCAATACGGCCATCAGTGAGTCACGTGACTTCTCCTTGATGCTATTTATACATCTGACCGCCACAATGGCAGCCAGATATCCAACAATCAAGAAAAACTTAATTAGCCAGAGCACTTGTGCAAATTTCAGTGGAGAGGTACAATCCATTAGATTCTGTACGCTCCGCCGACCTCTCAGAGGGGGAATATGATTTACCACATGGCCACGATGCAGCTATGGCTTGGACTTTTACAACAGGGGACAAGAGATACGGGATGTGTTTAATAAAGATGATGGAATGGACAAGTCCATTAGTGGAGCAGGTCTTGGGCTGGTCTTCCAGCTTTAATTAATTCTGGGCTCGAGTAATAAAGTTAAGTGGAGGCACAGGGAAGATGGCCAGCAAGAAGTCTGAAGGTGACTCTGCCAAACGGGAACTGCAGTCTGACTGGAGATTAGGACGATGTCTGTGATGTCACTTCCTGTTTTAAGTCAGCTCACTGTCTTTTTATGCAGTGCTTACATTTCTAAGAAGTTTAAAGAACATACATTTAAAAATATATTTTTTCACTTAAAACCTCAGCCTAAAACTAAAATCATGCCTCTCCATTCACTTGATAGCGAGCCTATGTTGTAAATGTTATCTGACCCTGTCCACTGGGGACCTAGACTAGATTTTTGTGTGCACTTGTCAAGCACATGCACCTTTTAATCCAATCCCTGATGAAAATCACTCCCACTCCTATTCTTTTAAATGGAAAACTGTCAATGCAGCGCACTATCGTTAATTGTTCGGGTGGAGCATAAAACTGTAGACCAGAGTCGAGTGCCGTGGTGCAGCTGAACAAAAAAAATATCAGCAATAGATGACCAGCAACATCTCAGGGGACTGAGAATCTACACCAGCATTATCCAGGTTATCTTTAACACATATTTAAAAACATGAAAACAAATGCATTTTTAAAAGAATCTGTTAACAAGCCAGACATAGCTTATTTTAGGAATTAAAAAAGTCTTTCAAGAGAAAAACAATGTCTAGAAACATAAAAGCTTGCATTAGCTTTCATCATTTGGGTTGAGTAAAACACTTAACGAAACCTCTTAGCCAATAAAAAAGTAGTATTTTTTTTAGTGATCTCTGTATATTCAATCTGAACTAAAATCATAGGACGACTAAAACCGTCATCTTTGTTTTTACTAGCTTTTACCTGCTCTGATTGCTGAGGTTCTACATCAAACCCAATCAGCCTGCTACAACAGTTAGGACAAGATATATAAAAACACGCAGGTGCCATCAACCCCCTGCTGGGACCCCTCACATCTAGCTCTTGTTGCCAGGTGCATACTGGCCACTGACAGTCTTGTTTGTTGTGAACATTAAAGTTTGAAGCACAGGCAGCAGGAATTACTCAACAGAAAGACCCAGCAGGGTAATCAAGACAGCCAAGTCTCCATCTTCCAGCTCTGAGTAGCAGACAATCAAAAGGAGAATTGACAAGGACAAAGTGAGAAAAAAAGAGTGACCGCCATAAACATTTTTCAGCTTCTTGCAGAGTCAGAATAAGCTAAGGTGAAGCTGTGCAAAAACAAAAAAAAATTTGCAAAGTAAACAAAGTGTTGTTGATCTTATTCACATCAAAATAACATTAATTTGATTGAGATGATTATTTTGGGAGAGTTTGTCATCACTGACCTGTGATAACTAGACATTCATTATCATCCAGAGCTTCCGTGAAGAGACGAGACACGATTAGCTCGGGATTAATGAGGAAACGGATTTCCTCTTGAACGAGACCAGAACCGATGACGCCTCCTCCGACAAACTTGTTGGCAAAATCCACCTGCAAGTTAGGACAGATGGTTGATGAAAAAAAAAAAAAAAAAAGATTATACGTCTTTGCAGTAGCTGAACATGTCAGTTGCATCCACATCAAAGTAACATTTACTCAGTCTGGAACAGCTTCTCAAACGTAGGAAACAGGTGCACAACACCTCATACAACGGTCTCTGGCCTTTTTATTTTATTTGTGACAGAATCTGTGACAAGTTGATTGGGAAGGTGGCCTGAGGTGCTGGCATTACTCAGGCACTCTGTCCACAATGCCAAAAACGAGCTCTCGCTGAAAGCAGCACTTTAACACGCAGTAGCAAATACCAAATCAAAAGAGAGTAGTCTTACAGCCCGAAGGAAACATTTACCTCCAGTAAAAAAAATAAAATAAATGTAAATATGAGCTTATTTTTATTTTGTGATTCATAAAAAAATTACACTTCTCATTTTATTGCAAACAACTTGTTTTGTTCCAACAGCAGCCACATTATTACAGTGTTAGGGCAGATAGTTGTTGCTCACTGGCCTGAAGTCAGTTCAGGCGAAGCCCTCGTAAAACCTTATCAAATGGTGAGCCGTTTCAGAGCAGATCTCTTTGATACTGGTCACACGACAGTGGGACAATGAGCCAGACTCCAAAGTCTGCTTTGACAAGCTGTCAGAGGCTCGCCCCCCACCCCACCCCAGCAGAGCATCCATCAATCGGAGCTACAGTGAGACCCTGGAGCTGGTCACGTGCACACATCAACTGTCAGTTTGTGGCAACTCGAGGCAAACAAAAGGTGAAAGTCGGAGGGGGCTGTGCTGACAGAGTACAGGGAGCTCGTTGGACACAGAGAGCAAAGGAGACACAGAGGCCTTGACCCCAGTCCCAGCACAAACTCCCTCTGACGTGTCACCGGCTCCCTAAAGGCCTTTTCAGCAATAGTAAGCATTCTGGTTGGAATAATTCAGAATGAGTGGCATAGTAGGCCTGTCACGATAACAAATTTTTCTGAGCGATTAATTGTCTCCGAAATTATTGCGATAAACAATAATATTGTTTGAAATTTGACAATAATTAGTAATTATTGACAAATTTAAGAAGAAATGTTGATTTTTGAGTGTAGTAGATTTTTTTGACCACTGGATGATAGTGAAGTGACCGTTTGAACCGAAGGATGAATAGTGAGGGAGCGAGCAGCGTGTCTCTAAGAAAAATGGGAGGGAGGCCCTTGACATGACATGGGCTGTCTCTCGTTCCTGTTTTTTAGTTCTCAAAATGGCAGAAGATGCTCAGTGTGGTTTGAGCTCTTTAGCATAACATTTTTCACGCAAACATTTTAATAAAAAAATCTGTAAACAAGTTCTCAACTTCTTTTTCCAGAAAAAATCAACTTTTTAGATGAAGGCACGGGTTTCAACCGTGAATTTTGGAGCTTTGACAAGATGGAGGTTTTTTCCTGAGGTCGGCCTGTTAGCTTAGCTCGTAGCTTAGCTGCTTTTAACGATCCAGAAACGCAATTTTGGATAGTTAAAACAGATTTTAAAGAGGAAAGTGTCCAGTAGAAAGAGAAAGACACAAAGAAACAATAAAGCGAATAAATAATAATGTCATCACAATGTCAGCACTGTATGTTTCCATACAATGGCGAAATTAGTCTCTGCATTTAACCCATCCACCACCAGGTGGTGCAGTGGGCAGCTATTGAAAGCGCCCGGGGGGCATTTTGGGGATGAGGTCTGCTGCCCAGAGACGCCACGTGATGTGCAGTGACTGGGGATCGAACCTGGGACTTTTGGGTCCCAAGCCGGCTGCCCTGCCTCTACACCATCTCGGCCCCCAAATGAAAATGAGGTTGATAATTTTCATTTATCATGCGATTAATTGATTTATTGTTTATGGCGACAAGCCTATGGCATAGTGAGGAGGCACGCCTTCTTTACGCAAAATAACTTAATGCAAATTCAAATTACTTCAATTCACACTTTCAGTAACTGTACAGTCCGACATCTTACCTGAAGCATTCCATAACCATCATCCTCAATGGTCCCTTTGCATGTAATGTGGAGCTTCGTGAGCAACGTCCTCGAGCTGAAGCAAAGAATATTTTTCATTTATCTATTACGAGTAAGATCAAAATCTCAGATCAATAAAAAAAAAGAATAATAATCCAGTGGATTTAATACGAAGTTCTTTCAGCTTCTCCATTCTGGAGGGGCCGCCACAACGAGCAAACTCACATGAAAAATTTACATATTATTTAACGCAAGATGCACTTCCTGTTGCAACCTGGGCTCAAACCTGCAACCTCAGGAAGATGAGAAAGCAGTACTGACCACCCCCAATGAGTTTAATATTTTTGAATATCTTTTTTTATGTAATAACAAGCTTCTTCACTATATTAATAAAAGCATCAGACCTCCTCCAGTTGGGCGGTTTATCCAGTTTTCTTCGGCTGAATGTCACAAGTCCAGTGGGCACTGCAAAACAACAAAATAAGTGATTGTTTTGCATTTGTATATTATAGAACAGACAAACTGCACTACTGTTTTTATTTCTAAAAAAAAAATTATGGCTACTTACTCTGTTGAGTGACACTTTTAAAATAGCTCATCAACGTTTTCAGCTTTTCCACTTTCTTTGAAGAGGATCCCTTAAACAACCTGAACGCAAAGACAAAATGATTTAATGAATTTATTGTTGATATGAAATATTAGTTATTCTTGAAATAAAAAGGTATGTGTGATATTGCATTCCACCCTAACACCAACTCCACAAACTAAAACCAGGACTAGCTGCAGAACCAATGCTGTACCAACACATGACCTCCATTTTAGCCATGTGAGCTCAGTCATGCTTTAACTTTTGATATGAATTAGTACAGCTCTCACTCAACTTCCTTTTCAGTCACTAGCCGATTATGTAGAAGCTCCCTTGCTGTTGCGACAACGTAGCTGCCCCAGGCTGGCCATCACAGGGCAACATTCCTGCACCAGCACTCAGACAAAAAGGGAAGAGAATATCATTAAAAAGCCTAGCGTCCCTTTTAAATAACAGTATCCTCGGGAGGCAAAACGTCTAAGCACAAATGCTTGCTTACAAAGCTGCGGCGAGTGATACAGTGCACAGATTTGAATGCACCTTGAGCATCTACTTCTTAAGCTAACTCTATAAAGAGCCACACAGCTCACCTCACATTTCAGTCAAAAGAAGAAAAAAAAAAAGAAAATTTGCGGGAAGGAAATGACATAACGACAAAAGCTTGGTGCACTGAGAGCCCTTCAAGGGCTGGGATTCTCATTCACTCAAGACAACTCAGAGCTCCCTTTTCTCTTTTTGTTGTCAAAGTGGCCCCAAGAAACAATCATGCCTCTTGTAATCCCAGGGGAAAAGATTTTCCACTTAAGCTAGCCACTAGTGAGAGCAGCCTTTTGGTAACAAAATGCAATTTAGTTCAGAAAAAAACAGAATTTAAATAGTTTTATATCAACATGCATTCTGCAAATGTAGGGAAAGCTACAAGTACAAGTGACTGTGCTTGGTTTAAATAATGGGTTTTCATGTCATTAGCACAGGCAAACAATTTTAATAAAACAGTGAGATGAAATAAAAATTATGACCTAAAGATCTAAATTTCCAACATTTTGAAAAACATATACAAATACATTCTGTTGGGATTGAACTCCTTTACTGCTTCTGCTTAAAAGAAAGAAAAAAAAATGCCAAGGGCATTCTCTATTGTCAAAAGCAGCCAGCTGAGTTGGTGTTTATCCAATTTCCTCTTCCATTTAGGTAATTAAATTGTGATTCCAGCAGATATCAGGGGACATGACTGAGCAGAGATCTGCAGACAGATCCTACATTGCACCACCCTTACTGACATCTTTACAGTGAAGGTTTGCAGGGGCAGAAAGCTTATTCTGCGGTCTGCAAGTGGCAATGCTTTGAGTAGACTTAAAAAATATATATATGAATGTATGACTAAAAAGAAATCTTGTGTTACATCAATAAGGAAATGGTGTCCAAAACAGTTAAATAATTAGAGCAGCAGTAGACAACGTGAACTTTAAACAGATGCTCTTCTAATTGGTTTTAATGTCAGGTAGACATTTATTACGCGCATTCTCAGCCCTGAAACTACCCCGCTGCATCCACAGGCAGAAAGAACACACGTCACAACTAGGGATACACAATACTGAATTGTTGGCCGGTATCCGATATGCCAATATGTTAAAACTTATTTGGCCGATAACCAATTACCGATACCAATACCGATTTTATTTTATTTTATTTTATTTTCTACACCTACTTACAGAGACTACATAGCTTTCTCTGCTGTGGAATTAAAATACTTTATGTTTAATGTCAAATTTGTTCATGACATTTACTCTATTTCTAACACAGCAACACTCGAACAGTGCAAATTCATAAATTTTCACAAATCTAAACTCTACCTGTTCACAAACGACAAGTGAAAAGTGCATAAGTAGTAGTACATTAATAGATACACTTGACAGTTTCTTAAATTAAAAATGAACTTAAAACAGAAGCCTTTTATATTGGTGAGTTATTTTGATGGAATGGGCGATGTGGATATTTAACTTTATCGCTAATATCGGCCGATACTGATACCACGCCGATAATATCGTGTATCCCTAGTCATAACTTTGGCTTCAAGCTTGGCAACATCTCACCAGAATCACAACTAGCTTCACAGTGCTGCTCCATTTTCAACGTATGTTGCTTTCTTTGATAAATGCATGGAAAATAAATTTGACAAAGATGGAAAAAGAAAAACAAAAGAAACCAAACAGGAGGAACTATCGGACTGGCTTTTAGTTGTCAGAAAAGGCTAAGAGGGGAGATGGGATGACTGAGCATAAAGCCACCAAAAGAAATATGGCTTCAAACTCAAACATTGATTATGTATGCCTCTATTTCCATGCAAATGCATCATAATATGTTTCTGTTCTCCAGATATACTCAATAGTACCACGTCATGGGAAATACACACATTTCAACAGCAGCTGGTTATTTCACTTATGATACTTATCAATGGGGCTGCATGATGCAGTTAGGATGTTATTGGTAAACATTGAGAGGACCATTTTACTTGCAATAAATCCATATTCTTTCAACACTCTCTTTGTGTATTTGCATTTTGGCTACAATAATCTTGTTCTAAACGAGCATCCAAATACTTTTGTTTTTCTCCAAGTCGTGTTTGCTTCTTTTTTAAATCACACACAAACATTGAAGGTTTGCCACTTTACATAAGTTCTCTGTTCATTTAAAATGCATGTCACTGAAAAAAGGCAACATGAATTATGTATTTCCATACGTATAAATTACATTCAGAGAATTCATTACAATACTGTAAATGAATGAAACAATTATTAAAGAAGATTAGAGCATCTATATTTTTGTGTTCTTTTGTGAAAGCATTTATTCATTTTCAGTATCACTGTAAATGAAAACGAGCAATCCTATTTTTTTGCTTGTTTTGTTGCTTCGCCATTACCCTGCGATACGTTGGACATTTTTAGAAGCTGCTGGCGAGTGCATTTGCCGTCATCTCCTGCGTGACAACAAAGTTACATATATGCTGCAGAGCTCGGCTCATAGATTGGTTTTTGCAACAGCGTCATTGCATCTAGAAGGGAGCAGTAAATAAATAAAAATCACTGCCAGAAGGGGCCGGACGAGATATAACCCAAGTAAAGGTTGGATGATTTAACATCCAGACAGAGGATAAACTAACTAGTAAAAAAATATACAGTAGTGCCCCCGCATGGAGACGGCGCTAGTTGTCAGTGCAGCATTATTTACAACGTGACTGTGTATCCTTTAACACCATGAGTCAGAGCCCCACATCCACACAATACCTGAAAAAGTTGATGTCTGGGTAGTTGCAGGGCTCCGTCTGTGTGGGGAAAGTGCAAAAGAAGGCGTTGGCAAGCAGGCAAGCCACCTGCTCCTGAGACATGGTGATGGAGTGGTTCTTGCCTCTTTTCAGGAGGGGTATTGGCTGGAGGAGAAACAAAGGTACAAATGAAGAAGGGCAAAACGATTTGCTTTGTTTGCTTAACAAACAATGACGAAACTTGCAACGTGCTACTTTAATGAGCTGTGACAACGGGCAATTTATGTTTGTGCAATACAGGCTTATAAATGAACACATCTGATCAAGCAATAATTGAATGGCAAAGCTGAGATTGTCACATTATTACAAAGTGATAAAACACTCCTAAGAGTCATAACCAAAATACTTAAATAGTTTCTAATGGAAAAAATAAATAAATAAATTATACACACACACACACACACACACACATAGAGTAAAATGTATGTTTATGCTTAAACAGCTAAGTTTTAACAAATGCAAAAAAAGCTAAATAATTATCCATCTGTTAAAAACATCTCACACCAAGCCTGATCATCCATCCATCCATCCAGTATAAAGCTCCTCAAGAGATCAGCCTGGAAAAGTTTTATTTTCCTGCGGGCCAGCCACTCTTAAGTGTTTAATTAAACTAAAACATGAAAAAGACGAACAGATGTAAAATCTAAATTTTATAATTAAATGCTGGGCCAAATTATTCCAGGGAAAATGTTTTAATGAGCCGTTTTATTGGCTGCTAAAACAATGGCCGTCAAGCTCTTAATTTCAAAACAACCAGATGACTGAAAGCATTTTTTGACCTTCAGAGAAACGAGCACGGGTTTCATTTGTATCCTGGCCTCACAAACTTTTAAAGAATTTCTCTAAATTATTTGTTGCATTGTGACCTTTGGGACCAACTTGCCGCAGTGATCTATAGAGGGTCCATTAGCGAGTTGCTGGAGTTACCTTGGTGCAGAGCTCAGATGCTCTCAGTGCTAATTTTGCCATGTTTGGCAGCAGATGTTCAACAGCATCAGGCTCCAGGACCTTGGAGAGAGCAGAAAATCTGTTTATGTTTGTTGTTGAGCCATAAAACTCAACATTATTAGTTATTCAAACTGATTAGTTGAAGACGTTCATCTAACTGGTTATCAAACGTTTGAGACATGGTAAAATACATAAATTCATTATGATTCAATTTTTATCAGACAAAAAAAACTAACTGTATTTTCACCCATAGCAGCTCCAAAATGTCACAATGATCAATCAATGAGAAGTATTATCAAGGTTGCACAGTCAAGCAAAAAATCTGATTAAGCATCTTTCCAGAAGGAGATGCAAATGAACAAGTGTTCAAAATAAAAGGGGCCATGTGTGCCCAGGACAAAAAGACATTTATATTATGGCAAAGGAAGCCTGACTAAACACTGCTGTAAGTAATGGCCTCGCTGACATCCTAAACAGCCCCTAAGGGTGCATTAAATGAAGCCAGATGACGTGGTCGGAACAGCAGATATAGCTGAGGCAATAAAGGTAAATCAACAGAAGACGGTGAGTTAACTATCTGTACAACTTCATACAGGTCTGCACATGACACCAGACTGACAGAGCAACCAAGCAGGAGTGAAACCACAGCTATAGACCGCAGGAAAAGTAGCTAAGAAATGGAGGATTTGAATATTGCGTCCTTGTTTGTATTTGGATCTGAGTCCTAAAGCAGCCTGCTTGAGAGCGACCATAAATTGTGTAAATATGAATAAGTTTGTGCCTATAAGTGTAAAAACAGCCCTGGTTGGGTTACAGAAGAAGGAATGGACTAGACTGATGCTGTCCGTCAACAGCTCTTCAGTTATTCATAAGGAATACGTGTCGAGATGAATATTCAATGAGGGTGCCCGGCCCGTCACTCTGTGCCATTCATGTGTATTTTTCTCTGACACTCAAAATCATTTCAACTCATTGTGGCACAGGAGAGTAACAAAGTGGAAAAAAAAGATGCCTTTGATTGCGATGTTACTCTCATTTCACTAGGAAAATAGAAAGTATGAAACGAACAATGCGACTTCATCATAAATACCACCCTCATAAACGATTTCAAATTTACTTTTGAAACAAAATCATATACATATGAAAGAAAGCACATCACCTGCCGCTTGGCATGCCAATGTTATGCAGAAGGATGTGCGATCAGTGAGCGCTCACGTCCTTCAGAGTTGTAAACCAGTTACATTAGTGATACAGGAAAGTTCTAAGTAATTTTATGAGCAAAAGCAAAAACTGGTAAAAGATCTTAAAATCTGTCAAATATTGAACTCTTAAAAAAATGTTAGCACTGCTTTCTAAAATCAACCATGTTATTTGGATGGCTCAAAATATTAGGCAGCTAAATATTAGTCTAGCATGATGCTAGACCAGGGGTCTGCAAGATCAAAGAGCCATTTCTGCCCCTTCAATCATTAAATAAAAAAATTTAAAAAAGAGCCCGGAGCCACGAAACCTGCTACAACAGTGACTATCAACTGGTGGCCACTTTGAGGCAGGAGGGGGCTTTTCTGACCAGTGGGGGTGACATTTTAAAACTAATAGTCAATAATGAATTTCAACATTTATTTATATTTTTACATTTTGCGACAAAAAGTAAGTCTATGATGTAAAGAAGTAAAAACTTCTAGTTTCTACCATTAGATGAAAATGAAAACACTGAACTCTGCAGGGCTGTGGCCATTTATGTGAGGAGGAATTACCATATTTTCCGGTGTATAAGTCACAGTTTTTTGGACAGGTTTGTCAGTCCTGCAACTTATATACGTTTTTTTTCTCCATATTCATAACGCAATTTTTGACTGACCCTTTAAATATCGAAGAACTGCAACAGCAAGTCCTCCCATGCGCGCTCGCTTCACTCAGCTGGTGCAGGCGGAGGAACACTGGAGAGCTAGCAGCTCCGGCCACGATGGATGGAAGGATAGCGATGCGCTGCCCAGGCAAAATGAAGCTGTTTTAACCATTAAATAAATGCGACGGATCAGCAGTGATGCATAATAAATGCGACTTATATACGTTTTTTTCCTCTTCATGATTCTGTTTTTTGACTGACGCGACTTATACTAGAAAAAATAAAAAAAATTAAATTTTGTATACCTCTTTTGTGATTGTCTATTGTTGTCATCTTTACTCATTGTTGTCATCACTCTTTGTTAAGAAATCAGGTCTCTCTCGTAAATGAGTCCCCGAGGCTCAATGGGATTAACCTATATAAATAAAGGTTGAATACTCTGGAGCGACTTATACGCTGGAAAATATGGCAAATATCCCACTTTGAAGTAATAAAGCGAAAAATAGTAGTGTTGTTCAAACATTTGCAGAAAATTTATTGTTTTAAAAAACAGCCAAAACTAGCCATTTTTGTTGTGGGTTTAAAAATTTCCTGTAAGTTTTGGTCAAAGCTTCAAAGAGCCACAGATGAGGGACAAAAGGGCCACATGTGGCCCCAGAGCCACAGGTTGCAGACCCCTGTGCTAGACAAATGGGGGAGTGGTGGTACAGAGGATAGAGAAGGAGGGCCTGTGATTGGAAGGTTGCCGGTTCAACTCCCCAGACCGACATCAAAATGTGGGTGGGAAAAGGTCAAACACCCACACCTATCTCCACCCTCATTTGCTCCACTATGGGCCCTTGAGCAATGCCCTTAATTCCCACCATCTGCTCTCCCAGGCACCCTAGATAGCAGCTCTCTACTCCACACAGAGGGCTGTGGTAGCTCGGTGGTCTGTGGTTGTGTCATGAAGGGCATCCGCCGTAAAAACAATCGCCAAGTTTTCATGCAAATAGTTTTCTGTGGCGACCCCTGAAGAAGGGATCAGCCGAAAGAAAAAAATAATAATAATAATTTTGTCTAGCATGGTGCATCTTTTAACTACCGGTACTTTTAATTTTTATCCAACTTTTAAGCCAAATTCTGTTATAGATGTGTTACATTCTCCACAGAACATCATCTTCTTGGATTACAATACTTCATCCAGAAAATAACCGACAAAAACAGCGAAAGATCAAATGTTTAGAAGTATAATCTCTATATCTATCTATAAATCTTGCTCTATTTTTGTATTTTGGATGGGTCTTTGAAATATGACTAATTATGTCCTTCTGTAAAACTTGGCCTGTGGTTACAACCTCCTTCCATGATGAAGTTACTTCTAATGGAATTCCCTTTAAACACAATTTATGGCTTGTAGTACACGTGGCACACAGAGTGACTGTACACGACTGGACTGGAGCATTTCCTGGGATGTAATAATGCATTTCTGACAATAAATGTGAACTTTTCTTTAAAGATTCAATCATTCTCAAAACCCCTAATTTAGCCTTTAAGGGTAAATTGATTTTATTGGAGGTTTGACACACTCTTGAGATTATGTAGAAGATGTGAGGAAGATGCTGAACAGTCAATTCACATAAAGCTGCAAGACTCATTATTATTATTATTATCTAAATATTGCAGAGGCAATATTAAAGATTGTGATATTATTGAGAATATTAACTTGTCCATACTATTGTGAGTGGTCAAACTTCTATTGATGACACTCCCATAAAACAAGAATTTCCAGCAAAAATATATATATATACTAAATATCCTAAATGGCGTTTCAACCCTTAATCTGTTTGCATGACAGGCCTTTGATACTGCACACAAAATAGGAATACTGCACAACTGTGCTTTGTAAAGAGAGAGAAACTAGAAAATGCTGAGTCTTTTTAGCATGATGAGCTTTAAAGTTATTAAACTGAGCGACTAATATTAATTTGCAAAGCCATTTAGGAGTTTTTACATATTTAAATTAAAATTAAATTAAAAAATACAAATAGTTGTTTATGATGTCATCTGCTTGGTGATAAAATGCTAAAATTTGATATTTAATGCTCCATTAATCTAATCCGGTGACGTCCTTGACGTTTAATGTATATTTGCTTGTTTACATGACTGTGCAGTCTCACATTTTTATACAGACATTTTCTCTTAATATTTTATTCTCTTCATCTGTATTTATTTAGACCAACTTTATTTGAAATATGTAATAGTGAATATAATATTGTTTACCTTAGTGCAGAACCAATGCAGTGCTGTGAAGTCCCCGTTTTTGGCTTGTGAGTATCTAAGTATTTTGCTCTGTAGGAAAAACGCATTAATGGTTCATAGCAAGAGCAACATAAAACATTTTTTTTTTTATCAAAATTCTGAATCAATTCTGTCAAGATATGTGAGCTGCCTGGCTTTTCAGTTTGTGAACCTCTGACTCCATCTTGTGGAGAACTGTGGCCGTCCTTGCTAAACTGCTGTTTCTATTGTGAAAACATGATTAATCTTCAGTCTTTGTTTTCTAACCAAATATGTGTTGCATGAAAACTTCAAATACATAAAAAAAGCAAATAAAGGTAGTTAGTAATAATTTTAAACATCTTTAAAAAAAAACGCTGCAGATCAAAGGATAAGCACAAAACGACTTGCCTTTAGCTCATCCGCACTTTTAAATTTCTGGGTTAAAGCTTCCTTGATCTGTTCCCAAACTTGCTTTTTTTGAAGGTTCTGCAGTTCCTGTGGAAGCAAAAGTTATAACGAACTTCAGATGTGTGAAGTCAGTAAAAAGTGATGACTTAAAGCCAACTTTATTAAACATCAAAGGTGCTAAAATAAGCAAAACCACACATACTGAGTTAGCCACCTTTACAGCCAAACCAGAACCAGTGATGTAAAGCTGTGAAATTAAATGCAAATTTTAACATGTTCTTTTTTTAACAAAACATGAGTGCAATGATTTTTTTTTTTTTTGTAAAACCACACAGCTGGTTAAGAAGACTCAACAGCAGCTGTCATTCCTAATGAGGAAGTGGAAGTTTGACATGTCGTCTAAGATCCTCTGCAACTTTACAGCCGTGTGTTTGAGAGCTTCTCACCAACTGGTACAGGCCATAGAGAGCACATTACTCCAGTTTTGGCCTCCCTGCGCTGGCTACCCATTCACCCTCAGATCCAGTTCAAAATACTCATGTATGTTTTTAAATCACTGAACAGTTCTGCCCCATCCTATCTCACTGATCTTCTACAGCCATATGTCCCACCGCGCTCGCTGAGGCCGGCAGACTAGATGTTCATTTCAGTTCCAGAAACCCGTCGCAACCTCAGAGGTGACAGGGCTTTCTCTGTTGCAGGTCCAAGACTGTGGAATGAGTTGCCACTGCGTGTCAGGCAGGCTCCCACACTCACAGTCTTTAAGTCATGCCTGAAAACCCACTTTTATTCCCTTGCCTTTGACAAGGTGTGATTTGTTTTGATCCTGTCTGTCGTCCACAGTGTTGGCCATTTAGTTATTATCTGCTGCTATTTCTATATTTTTATTTTAAGTTTTCCTGTCCGCTGTGCTTGTGTTTTTATTGTACAGCACTTTGGTTGGCCTTGTTGCTGTTGTAAGTGCTCTATAAATAAACTGGTATGGTATGGTATGGTATGGTATGGTATGTTTACCAGCAGTTTGGTACAGCAGCACCAGTGCCATGGACTGTAAATGCCTGCAGAGAGTGACGAAGACTGCTGAGATCGTCAGGACTCCACCGCCCTCTACGCAGAGCATCTACGTAAGTCCATACAAAGGCCACCTCCATCCCTAAGGACCCCACCCACCTCCAGCAGGGACTATTCACACTTCTACCTTCAGGCTGGAGGTACAGAAGTGTAAAATCCAGATTTAACAACTCCTTCCAAGAAGTGATTTAAACTGACTGATCTTTTCACTTGATTGCACCTTTTTGCCTTATTTATTATACCTTACATACATTTAGCACATTTTACTTTGTAGGTACTTTTGGTTTTCACTTATTTGTAAAAAAAAATAAAATAAAAAAAATACAACAATTTTTTATGTAAATATGTTTGAACAGCTGATTGGAGTCAACTAAAGTCTTCTGCTTGGCATTCACTGTGGACAGCAAAGTAAGAGTGAAATTGCCCAGGGAGACGTTTCCAGTTGTGCACATGACAACAAACGTTTTAAATCCTTGAATTAAAATCTGAATAATTACCTCATCTTTGACGAGAAATATGTTTCTACTTGAGCAGGGCATCCTAACATGGACATTATCCCAGGTATCCATAAACTTAGAGGGATATGGAGCAGGAACTCTACCATTTTGAAGAAGGTCTGTCTGTCAACGAGTAATAAAATACAATTAGTACAAGCAGAATGTGTGGGCAGTCTAAACAAACTAAGTGAAAACACACAGCAAACTAAACTTGAACAATTGCTTAAGTATGAAAGTGTATTAGGGCCACGCTAAGAAAAAGAAAAATTATATTATAAGAAAAAAAGTCATAAAATTATGAGAATAAAGGCATAGTATTACGAGAATAAAGTGTACAAGAATCAAGTTGAAATATTATGAGAACAAAGTTGTAGTATTAGGATAAAAGTAATATTATGAGAATAAAGTCGTAAAATTACGAGAATAAAATTGAAATAGTACAAGAATAAAGTCGTATTTCGAGAATAAAGTCATAAAATTAGGAAAATAAAGTTGTACGACAAAGTCATAATGTTACGAGAATAAAGTTGTAATAATATGAGAATAAAGTCATAATATTACATTTTATTATTACATTTCTTTGACATGTCTATTTTCTGTTCCTGGGTCAACTCGCACCTGCTGTGGACAGCCAATGCGAGTCACTGTGTTTACGTAGTAGTCCGCAACCACTTTTGGGTCACAGTTTGTGAAATATGCCTCCATCCAAATTACTGTATACGACAACTAAATCTGTCAATGCAGCCATTAATTGCAATGCCATATGTCTTCAGTTTATCATAAGAATCCATATACCACATTGGGCCCTCTGCTATTGTACTGCCGACGATGGAGATACTAGAGTTGAAATTTGCCTGAACAAAATCTTCATGACCATCCTCATTGTCTGCTGAGAAACAACAAAATCTCTTTGAATGGCACACAGATGTAACCACCTATAGCTGTCGGAAATGTCACATTTCCACAATCAACCACTGCCAGAAAGCTCCTCTTACACAAAAGAAGCAATATCTTTGTGATGAATTTTGAGTTCATCCAGGTCTCTCTTGTAAATGAGGCCCCGAGGCTCAATGGGATTAACCTGTATAAATAAAGGTTGAATGAACGAATGAATGAAAAATCTTCCAAATCCGTGTAGTTCCTTCTTTGAAATGGACATAGTTGTTTGCATAATCGTTTCAAAGTCCTGATACTGATAAAAATCTGAAGCTGATGTGCCAACAAATTAAGTACTTCCTTATTTGCAAAACCATTACTAGGCCTGTCGCGATAAACAATAAATCAATTAATTATATGATAAATGAAAATCATCAACCTAATTTTCATTGATCGGCTTTATTGTTCCTTCGTGTCTCTCTTTCTACTGAAGACACTGGATGACAAAAGGCTCGACTCCAGTGCTCTTCACTGACCCCTCCCTTTCTCTTTAAAATCTGTTTTAAACCGTCCAAAATTACGTTTTTGGATCGTTGAAAGCAGCTAAGCTACGAACTAAGCTAACAGGCAGACCTCGGGGGAAAAAAAACTCTGTCTTGTCGAAGCTCCAAAATTTACGGTTGAAACCCCCCGTGCTTTTGTGTAAAAAGTTGTTTTTCTCTGCAAAACGTAGCTGAGAACTTATTTACTGATTTTTTTTTTAATTAAAAGCTTTGTGCAAAAAATGTTATGCTTAAGAGCTCAACCACACCGAGCATCCGCCATTTTGAGAACCGAGTAAAGGAAGGAGAAACGGCCCATGTCATGTCAATGGGCATCCCTCCAATTTTTCTTAAAGAGACACGCTGCTCGCTCCCTCACTATCCATCCTTCGGCTCAAACAGTCTTATACTGCCATCCAGTGGTCGAAAAAAGTTACTACACACAGAAATTAACCAACATTTTTTCTTAAATTTGACAATTACCCATTATTGTCAAATTCCAAACAATATTAGTGTATCGCAATAATTTCTGAAACAATTAATCGCCCAGCAAAATTTATCATCGTGACAGACCAAAGAATAATTTAACAAGATGCTCAACATTCATCATTTTACAACAGTTGTAAGACTGCTTTTTTGTGTCTGAGTTCTGGTAATATTATGAGTTTATTCTCAAATTATTTCAACTTTATTCTCGTAATACTTTGACATTATTCTCGTACGACTTTATTCTCGTAATTTCATGACTTTTTCTAAATGTTTTTTTTTTCCTTAACGTGGCCCTAATACTCCATCGTACTGAAGACAACTTTTGATATAAAAAAAATTTAAGTCATGGAATAAGTCCTCAAACCCTAATCAGGACGGTGTGCTGGTCAGGATCATCCTTAAGTGGTGGAAGGGTTCCTCCACATCTTGGCATCCTCTTCAGCTCACCGATTGGCGTTCCCAACCATCTGACCTCAGCAGGTGTTGTTTTCTTGTCTCGATCGCCGTCTGAGGATGTATCTGGCCGGCCCCTTTTCACAGGTAAGCTCGGTGACGAAGCTCCTGAAAAGAAGTCTGTTATTTTGGTCCTTTTTTTGGCAGAGCCCTCAGAACTTGTAGCGTACACTCCAGTTGGCTCTTCCTCTAACTCTTTGTCATCCCAAGGGCCTCTCTGTGTACATCCACTTCCTGTGGAATCCCTTGAAGTTGGTGACATAGGACAGCTTGCAGCCCAGTCTTGCGGCGTTAACGGTTGTGTTTCTTCATCCATATCAGAGTCTGAAGATTTTGCAGCATTTTTACAGTCTAAAGACGAGGCTGAACTGCTTTGAAACCCAAGGCCGTCAGTCACTCCCACATCTTTCTGGTTTGGGCACTTTTCAGTTGCGTTTGGACTTTTTGAAGGCTTAAGCAACCAACGTTCAAGTGTATTTCTGATCTTCTGTGGCTGTCCAAGTCCAGCTTTTTTTAACTTTTCATCTGGCAAACTGTCTTCATCTCTTTTTGACTGAGGATCCATGTTTGTCTTGTTTTCCCTTCTTTCTTGAGCTATGATTTTATCGCCGGTGTTTTGAATACATAAAGATCGCCCTGGAAAAACAAACAAAAAAATGTCTTACTGAAATTGTTATCATGCACTTTAAGGCTATTAATGTCTAACCAAAATACCTATGTCAGAAGATGGAGGTGTTGCTAGGTTATTTGTTTCAACTTTTTGCCTCTTTGCTGATGGCTGAAAATCTGTCATCCTGCAGAACAAGCAGACAATAAATAAAAGATGTTCATATCAAATAGAGCAAAGCCCGACGTTAAAATATAAAGACGAGTACTCACAACACAGCTTGAGCAAAACCCAAAACCAAAATGTTTGATTTTGTCCACACCTGATTTCTTGTCAGTTGTATTCTCAATAAGGAAGTAAGTTTTAAAATACGGAATGAAGCCATGTGCATTCAATTACCCGACAGAGACGTATTTAGCTAGTGTATGCTGCATAGTAAATTATTTTCTTTAAACTAAGTTTATAATCTCTTCCCATTGACAGGTTGCTAGACCATTAAGCGACTTTGCTAGCTAGCTTCGATGCTAACGAGATTTTGACAACACTGGTGTTACGCCGAGTTAAGAACCCCGGAAAAAATGTGTGCCCCACCTCTCGGGAGCGCGCAAGATGAAGGAGGAAAAAACTTTTCAAAACGTCTACAAACTCAGTTTCGACCATGTGTGGGTGTTATTTTATATCTGAGCTTCACGGCAAGAATAAATGCTTTCAGGTTTTCTTTTTACCGTGTTAGAAAGGCTCGTCATCTCTTCTGGTTTTTCCTGTCGTTTCCAAGACGAAACAGATTCAGGCAGTGGGACCAATTTTTAAATAAAAAAGAGCAAACAATTATAAAAATAATCATCAATCATGCATTTGTATAAAAATGCGTTTATTACTGATGTGACCTTGGGTACAGCTGTTGTGCGCGCTCCCGAGGAGAGAGTGGGTTACGGGTATACCCACCACGGCGAAACACCGGTCCGTTAAAATTAGCCTAAAATTAAAAGTCATAGTTTTTAAAATATTGAACAATTTATAAATGTTTTTAATTATAAAATGATTGAAATGTCGCTTTAAAAATGTTTTGTTGTCGACATGCGCAGCATAAAGTCCTTCAAGGTAAACATCGCAGCCGCCGAAACGTCGCAGGCATATAACGTCATGTAAATGGAAACAACGCGATATTTGAACGAACAATTAAAATCTACCAACAAATTTTCCACGTTGAATGTAGATTTACTAAATTCGTTTACTTGAGTGCTATGTTTAAAGTATAGTTAGTAGATTTCAGTAGAAAATAAAATTTATACTTTGTCTAAACTGGATTAAATGAATCAAAAGTTAGCTCCCTTTCTAAGCCACGCCCATTAACACACCTGACAAAGAAGAGAAAAAAAAAGGGTATTTCCTGAACTCATCTCTAGTTGAGTACATGTTGACTGCACGAGACTTTTTATACATTTTAACGATAATAATGGTCAGAAAATATATTACATTCGCTGTTTTATTTTATTGCTGTGTTTCTGGGACTGCAAGCACAGGTGAGGCTTTTAGCGGTGAGGTTACCTGTTGCGTTGTTTATGGAGGGAACCAGAAAGTTTTATTTTCCTTTTGTTTTTTAATCATGTTAACAACAAACGGGTTCTTTAATTGTACTGGATTTGTTTTGTTACTAGCTCCAGCTTATTATTTTAAAGTTTGTTTGGGTTTAATGTAAATATGTTGTCTACACAATTTACCTTTTGGTGTGTGTGACTTATGAGTGTCTGGTTAATCAAAGTGAAACTTTTCAGTACTTTTGTGTTGTTTGTTTATCTCTTCCTCTTTTTTCCCCAGAAAAGTTCAGTGGGTTTAGGTCAACATTGTCAAGA